ACATTTATGTGAAAGTATCATTCACAATGTACTAGTCATTGATGACATACACATATTTTTAGAATACCTCTGACATATTGCACTGTAAATTACATATACCTTTTTTAAAAATTTTTAATTTTTAATTTTTTTTTAAGATTTTATTTATTTATTTGACAGAGAGAGGTCACAAGTAGGCAGAGAGGCAGGCAGAGAGAGAGGAAGAAGCCAAGCAAAGAGCCCAATGCGGGACTCGATCCCAGGACCCTGAGATCATGACCCGAGCTGAAGGCAGAGGCTTTAACCCACTGAGCCACCCAGGCACCCCAATTAAAAATTTTTAATTTTTTATTTTTATTTTTTTTTTATTATTTTTTTTTTAAAGATTTTTTATTTATTTATTTGTCAGAGAGAGAGAGAGAGGGAGAGAGAGCGAGCACAGGCAGACAGAATGGCAGGCAGAGGCAGAGGGAGAAGCAGGCTCCCTGCTGAGCAAGGAGCCCGATGTGGGACTCGATCCCAGGACACTGGGATCATGACCTGAGCCGAAGGCAGCTGCTTAACCAACTGAGCCACCCAGGCGTCCCAAAATTTTTAATTTTTTAAATTTCTTTTCAGTGTACCAGAATTCATTGTTTATGCACCACACCCAGTTCTCCATGCGATATGTGCCCTCCATAATACCTCCCACCAGGCTCACCCAACTTCCCACCCTCCCACCCCCGCCTTGTAACTTCTTTCTGTCACAGTAAGAAATCTAGCCCCTTCAAAACCCTCAGATTGTTTTTCAGAGTCCATAGTCTCTCATGGTTCATCTCCCCCTCCAATTTCCCTCAACTCCCTTCTCCTCTCCATCTCCCCATGTACTCCGTGTTATTTCTTATGCTCCACAAATAAGTGAAACCGTATGATAATTGACTCTCTCTGCTTGACTTATTTCACTCAGCATAATCTCTTCTAGTCCCATCCATGTTGATAAAAAAGTTGGGTATTCATCCTTTCTGATATATATGGACCACATCTTCCTTATCCATTCGTCCGTTGAAGGGCATCTTTGTTCTTTCCATAGTTGGTACATATACCTTTTTATATTTATTGTGATGGATGAAAAAATCTTTAATGTTTTCAATTGTATTCAGATTTATGATTTAAAGACTATAAATATTAGCATTATGAATTTTCTACATTAATCTTATAACCTTTTATCTTAGTGAAATGATCTAAAAGGTTTGTGATATTTTGTTTTTTATTAAACTATAACATACATTTCAAACAATGCACAAATTATAAATATGTAACTTGATGTATTCTTACAAGTTGAACACACCCATATAACCTGTACCTAGATCAAGAGCAAAACATTAGCAACACCCCAGAACCCCCACTTAGGGTTATTCTGGTTAATACCCCTGGCCAAGAGTAACCATTACCATGACTTGTAAAAATTAAATGTAATTTTTTGAGTACTGAAAGTAATACATATGAAATGGCAAAATGAATTTTATCTGTAATGATGATGATGGTTGGCAAATAAGAATTAAAGTTCTTGGAGGAGCTATTTAGGACTTTGAAAATATATCATATCTTATATCTGGTATTAATCTATACTAACATAGGATGTATTATGCGGATGGAATTAGTCAGATTTACTCCCCCCTTTTTTATGTGAAATCATTTTGTGCTGACTCATAGAAGTTTATGTGTCCAGTATTCTTATTTAAAAGTTATATTTGTTCTTGGGGCACCTGGATGGCTCAGTGGGTTAAAGCCTCTGTCTTCGGTTCAGGTCATGATCCCAGGGTCCTGGGATTGAGCCCCTAGTCGGGCTCTCTGCTCAGTGGGGAGCCTGCTTCCCATTCTCCCTCTGCCTGCCTCTCTGCCTACTTGTGATCTCTCTGTCAAATAAATTTTTTTAAACATTTTATTTATTTATTTGAGAGAAGAGAGAGACAGTGAGAGAGAGCATGAGCGAGGAGAAGGTCAGAGGGAGAAGCAGACTCCCCGTGGAGCTGGGAGCCTGATGCGATACTCGATCCCGGGACTCCAGGATCATGACCTGAGCTGAAGGCAGTTGATTAACCAACTGAGTCACCCAGGTGCCCATCTGTCAAATAAATTTTTTTAAAAATCTTTAAAAAAAAAAAAGGTTATATTTATTCTCAAGGGAAAGCACTTTGTGCTTCCAAATTTCTTTCCATGGTGTTCATTTCATTACCTTTCCCTTAGGGAGGAGTTTGACTCTAATTAGTCTGTTTGCAAGTGGCCTTCCTATGAGCAAACTTTTAATCACCAACAGTGATGTCATACATTCTAAAGGCATGTATTACTCCTTCCCTTGATTACACATTCAGCTAACAACCTGTATTTGTTGAATACCGGGTTGGTACAGAGCATTCTACCAGGTGCATGACAGGATATTAAAAGTAATACAAGATATTGACCTTGCCCTTTAGGAATTTAACAGTACAGTGAGGTGGTTACAAGTGTGAACTCTGGGGCCAGAGTGCTTAGATTCATATTCCAAATGCACCACTTCCTCATTGTAAGATTTTAGGCAAGTTACTTAGTTCTGTGTCCCATTTTTTTCATCTATTAAGAAGAGGCTAATAAGAATTCTTATGCCATAGTTATCAGGTGTATTAAATGGCATTAATACATGTAAAGCATTTGAACTGCTCTGGTACATAGCACGTACTCATTAAGTGGTAGCTGCTATAATAATAATCACCATAGGGATCATAGATAAAATACTGAAATTAGAACCAAGGTAGCACATAATTAAATTCCACAATGAATGATGAAAGCAAACTGAAGCATCTCATATCACCACTTTAAATTGGCTGCCTATTCCATATGTTATCTTGCCCCCATATCAGTCACCAGGCTGATGTATTTAATTAGAAATGGAAAAAGGAAAAAAAAACATCAAAATCATGAACTATTTAAGGAAGCTTTGACTAAAACTCCCAAGTATGGCTTTTGCGAATCTTACTTCCCCAACTCAGGATGCTCCTTCTCACCCCCGAGACTGGATCTATTAACTTCATGTTCTCTATTACCTGAAAATTTGGCAGTTGAACACTCTAGTGAACATCATTCTCATTTATCTTTTAGGTGTGTTAAGGTCTGATGAGTCATTTGTACCTTAGAATTGTAATCAGATTCTTTTTCATTGAGCATCTGGCCAGAAATCAGATATAATCAAAGAATGGGAATTTGTTGTTTGGGAGAGAAATGAGTAATTTTGAAATACAGAATGTTTTATTTCCTCTCTTAAAAAAAGTTTGCAGTGGGGGTGTTGGGCAGCATGACATCATTGGGCATGGGAATAGGAGAAGGGACAAAGAAATAATGGTATGATATCACAACATACTTAATCTCTCCTTTTAAGGATTTTATTTATTTATGTATTATTTGAGAGAAAGAGAGAGAGAGAAAGCTCAAGCAGGGGTAGGAGCAGAGGGGGAGAATCCAAGCAGACTCAGTACTAAGCACAGAGTCCAACATAGGGGTCTATACCTGAGCTGAAATCAAGAGTTAGATGCTCGACTGATGGAGCCACCCAGGCGCCCCCATACTTAATCTCTTTTTATGTGTTGTCCTTTAGTATTAACTCACTCATGTTATTATAAATGTAGTAAGCTTTTGGGGGGCCAAACTGGGAAACCAACTACCATTTATTATACATTCTGTGGGGAGATGAATTCCAGGTTCTACATAATGAAAAGTATGAAAGCTCCTTAATTTTTTTTGTAGTATGTTCCTTTTTTAAGTGATGTAAACAGTACTGCTATGTAAATTCAGAAGGGATTATGTTTTTTTAAATTGAGAATTATAGTGATGGAAGGAGTTAAGGGGAAAGTAGAGCTCGAACTGGAAAATCCTTTTTATTATTTATGTAATGGAAAAGTGAAGAGGCCAGATGTGTGTAGGTGAGGGTATACTGTCTGAAGAAAAGAGGAAACTAGCAGAAGATGAGATTGGCCAACTAATATTTCAGTTTTCTAACTGAAAAGTCAGAATTCTTTTTCTAGGAGGGAAATATTTTTCTTCAGTACTACCTTACAATGCATATGTCATCATAAATTTATTTTTTGTTTTGTTTTGATTTGTGTTAAGCTAATATTATAACATGTCATGCTTTAAAAAATGAATTAAATCAAGTTCTCATTTATTTGATAGACCTTGAGTTTTCAAATTTTTCAAAAACTTTCTACTTTGAAAGTTCTTTTAGATGACTGGATCTCTTAGCAATTTATGTCTGATACCATAGCCTAGCTCTATTAAATGTTGTAATAATGTGTTCTGTGGGCCTTGAGTTTTGAAAGCCAAGAAAATCTTCAAAGCACTCTATTTTTCATCCTGACCTGGGTATCTAGTACCTTAATCTCTTAAGAAGTTCACTTCTTAGGGAGAAAACAACATCTTTTCACCTATCTGTGTTACTGTATGGAAAGTAAATTGGGAGATCATGAGAAGCTTCACTGAAATTTTCAGTGCAAACATATTTTGTAAAACCAGAGTTAATTGTGTATAAAATTTCTATGTGGTTTTTCAGGCGACTCTATTTATGGGGTGTGTGTGTGTAGGTGTGTGTGCACGCATGCGTGAAGAAATTCAGAATCACTACCACGTGCTACAGTTTTGAATTTAGAATGAATGGATTTTCTTTAAAGTGATGTTTAATGATAATATATAGCACAAATGAAGATTTATAAATCAGAAAAAAAATTTAAAAGAACTCTATTTATCTATATCTGATATAGATAATGGACCACAATATAAATCCTTATAAAACTGTATAACTTAAGCACCCATTGTATGTTTTCCAGTGGCTGCCAAATCCAGGTGAATTTCTCTTTAAAGACTGTGTTTTAACTTGTGCTTCATAAAGGTTTTTTTTTAATATAATATCTCTGCCATCAAGTTGAACAGTATCTCCAGATTAATTAATACTGAAATACTTAGAAAAGGTTTATGTGAATTTTTTTTTTATTTCTAAATTCACCATTTTGATACAGATACCCATGGTTTTCTTCTGTGTTTACATGCAGCCAGGAGCTATGGGCGGAGACGAGGTAAATTTTTTTTAATGAGATCTTTTGCTTGCCAAATTGTGAGTAAATATGAGTGTGTGTGTGTTTATATCGTGTGTGTGTAAAACAATAATTATTGTATGGTATGATGTTCTAGCTTATTTTAGCAAAATAATTCTCATCACTTTTATTATAGTTATTTTTTGTTGTTAGTTGGTAGTTTGTTCTTTTAATCCTAATAAAGACATAACAAAGACTATTTCTACCTGGAAATTTTTGTTACATGGTTTATTACGAATGATCGTGAGAGAATAAAGGCTAAGCATACATATATTTTTGTCCTTTATCTGCAGTGTTCTTTTCATACTACTTAGAAGGCAAAAGTTAGATCTTAGAGGATAATTCTTGATCTTAGTAGGTTGACTGGTGAATTCTTCTGTGTTATATCCAGAGGCAGATTTACCTTGAAGCTAAAGAAGCCTAAGTTTCAAGGGGACCCCCTCCAAGCTCTTAACCTTATCTTTGTGTTCTTTTTCTTGATGTGGATCCCCAACTTGTATAGGCTCTAAGCCCCATAAAACTTGCATTCTCTCCTGATCACACCTGAACAAAATAATGTTGCTTTTATTTGTGTAATGCTGTTCATTTTGGTATCTGTAGTTCATTCAAATAACTTTTTCAAGTAGTAGGCTAAACCTAATGTAGTGTTTCAAAGGAATATGAGATTTAGGGTCAAAGATCTAGGTTGTAATCACTGCTTTATTACTTCTGTCTGGTATCATCACATGTAAATCATGAAGTAGTAAAACCAATCTTGTCTAACTTTAAGATTGTTAGTGAAATTATAGTTGAAAAAATGGGAGAGAAAAACCTATTCATGTACACTAAAAGCATTCCACAAATGTAAGTTGCTTTGAAAGTACTCACTTTCATTTCTTTTTTTAAAAAGATTTTATTTTTATTTATTTGAGAGTGGGGGAAGGGGTCGAGGGGGAGGGAGAGAGGGATGAGCAGACTCTGTGCTGAGCACACAGCCTAATGTGGGACTCAATCTGACAATCCTGAGACCATGACCTGAGCCAAAACCAAGAGTTGGACTCTTAACCAGCTGAGCCACCCAGGCACCCCAAGTTCATAGTATTTTCTTATTTATTCTACCATAAATATTTGTTGAGTGGATGAAGATTGGCAGAATCTAGTATGTATTCAAATTACTACTCAAAACTTCTTTCATGGTGGAATCATATAGTCAGTTTTGTTTTCAAATCATGGTGAAGAAAAATATTTGTGTAGTTCGTTATTTTTAAGCTATGGAAATAAATAGCATTTAATATTTTTAACCTTACTGTTTTTTAATTGAAAGTATAGGCAATAATACTACTAAAAATCATTTTCTACTATACATATAATTTTTCATGTTGCTAGAAAATTGGTTACTCTTGGGAAGGAGTAAGGAATGGACAGATTTACACAGCAAATAGACACCATCTGGAAGGTAGATAGCAGGGACTAGCCTCTCCTCTTCTTACACACTGATCAGTTACCACATCTTGTCGAGATTTTTCCTTTAGTGTCTTGGGCCTCATCCTTCCCTTTTCATTTCTATTGTTTTTCACTTCTTTTGTTTTTTTCTTTCTGAAACATCATTTAGTCCATGTCGTCGTCCTCCATTAAGGATCTCCATCATCTGCCTTCTCCCTGTTTCACCGGCCTCATCATCTCCATTTTCCCCACCTCACCTTCCCCTAACTAGTCTCTGTACTTTCCCACAGTCTGGCCATTGCACGCATGTACTGGCCTCCCTTCCTTTCATTTACTTACCTAACACCTATCCTTGGTTTGTGCATTTAAGCCAAAAAGCCTTATCTCTCCCATGAAGCCTTGCTCAGTGGCTTTGCAGGCAGTCTTTTCCTCTGCTTCTACTGCCTTTACTTTTTTCTTGTTTTTCCTGTATGCTCTGATTCTTCAACTGGAGATAAGTTCATTGAAGACAGTTGTATCCTGTGCCTACATATAATTAGCTCTTATTAAATGTGTATTGATGAGGATTGTTTTTGAAGTAACATCCTATATCTATGCAGACCAGAGTTTGGCATCATATATTTTTTTTAAAGAATTTATTTATTTATTTGTCAGAGAAAAAGAGAGAGCATAAGCAGGCAGAGTGGCAAGCAGACACAGAGGGAGAAGCAGGCTCCCCACTGAGCAAGGAGCCTGATGGAGGAATCAATCCCAGGACCTTGGGATCATGACCTGAGCTGAAAGCAGACGCCTAACCAACCGAGCCACCCAGGTGCCCTGGCATCATATATTTTTTTTCTTCAATGGAATTTTTTTTTAATTTTTTAAATTTCTTTTCAGTGTACCAGAATTCATTGTTTATGCACCACACCCAGTGCTCCATGCAATACGTGCCCTCCATAATACCCACCACCAGGCTCACCCAACTTCCCATCCCCCGCCCCTTCAAACCCTCAGATTGTTTTTCAGAGGCATCCTATTTTTAAAAATTATTTTATTTTTACAAATCGTAGTATATTAAGTACCAGACATCAGGAATATTAAGATCACCTATAATTTCTAAGTGCCTAAAAAAATTACTCTTCCTGTTTCTGTGTTACTTTCCTCCTATTTATTTGTAAAGTTTGACTTACTTGTTTTCACAAGCATGGTCATCTTTGCACCAAGTGTTAGGCTAAACATAGCCTAGAATGACTTGGTCCCTCCTCTCTGTAAGTCTGCAGTTCTGTAAGTCTGCAGATGAAGAAGATGATGAGAGAGTGAGAGAGAGAGACAGAGAGAGAGAGAGAGAGAGTGTGTGTGTGTGTGTGTGTGAGAGAGAGCACAAGCAAGAACATTAAAAGACTGAAGGTTGATTTTTTGTAATGAGAAAAGAACAGATAGAAGATTCCCAAAGGTGAAAAAGAAATCGTCTTCCTTAAATATGGTGACATAGCATGTGAGATGGGGCAGGGGTACCTCATATCTTCTCTTATTTCCTAAAGCATACTCATCTGGGCCACTGCATAGTATACACTTGATGAATTGGCAGATTTTCTCATGCTCATTTATTTGTATAATCAGGGGTTATGTTATTGCTTGACTTCTTTCCTCCAAACAAAGCTTAGACTTTCCCAAAACATAAAAAATGAACTTGGCTGGAATTTAAATAAAAAATTTAAAAATTGAACTTGCTGATGTATGTTATTTTATTTTTAAGAATTACCTGTAACTCATATTCTATACATCACAAACACATGTTGGTAAATATTTTAGGAATAGAAACCAAAGGGACTTACCTATGACAGTTTTGAGATCTGTCAATAAGGATTAGGCTAGTGGACTCTTTCACTTCTCCTGATAAACATGGAAAAGCTTCCTGGAACAGATAGAATTTCAGGAACTATTTGGATAATGGAAGAGGAGTGGGAAGGAGACCTCACCAGGTATATGATTCACCTTAAAAAAGAAAGCTTTGGGGTGCCCCAGTGGCTCAATGGGTTCAGCTTCTGCCTTCAGCTCAGGTCATAATCTCAGGGTCCTGGGATTGAGCCCCACATCGGGCTCTCTGCTCAGCAGGGAGCCTGCTTTCCCCTCTCTCTCTGCCTGCCTCTCTGCCTACTTGTAATCTCTCTCTTTCTGTCAAATAAATAAATAAAATCTAAAAAAAAAAAAAATTAAAATGTTTAAAAAAAAAAAAAAGCTTCAAGGTGAGATTGGCATGACCAGATGCTTGTGGCCTATGTCCCTGAGTATATGCGTTGGGAGCCAGCTAAAGAGGAGATATTTGCAATGAAAATGGTCTGAGCTGCCTTAATGAGCCTTTTTTAAACAAAAGGGAAGACTCCTAGACAGAGATATATCAAGCTTTTGAAAGAGGGTTTCATGATCAAGTGACAAAAACAGGAAAGAACCTGGACATTAGCTAGAGGCTTAGCTGGAGATACAAGTATTGAAGAGTAGACCTTGGCAAACCAGGTACTTCTAGTAGTATAGTTGAAACAGAAGTAGGGAGACAAACCATAACAGACTCTTAATTTCATGAAACAAACTGAGGGTTGCTGGGGGTCGGGAGGGATAGGGTAGCTGGGTTTCAGACATTGGGGAGGGTATGTGCTATGGTGAGTGCTGTGAAATGTGAAAGCCTGATGATTCACAGACCTGTACCCTGGGGCAAATAATACATTATATGTTAATATTAATTAATTAAGTAAAATTTTAAAAAAAAGAAACAGTAGGGAAGCAAAATTAGATGTGTAAGAATTGAATTTGAAAATGAGTGATTATATATAAAGTATTTAAATGTCCAAGTATATTTCCTATTATACCCACTTTTAATTTAAAGATATGTTCCTTTATGGGGCGCCTGGGTGGCTCAGTGGGTTAAGCCGCTGCCTTCGGCTCAGGTCATGATCTTAGGGTCCTGGGATCGAGCCCCGCATCGGGCTCTCTGCTCAGCAAGGAGCCTGCTTCCTCCTCTCTCTCTGCCTGCCTCTCTGCCTGCTTGTGATCTCTGTCTGTCAAATAAATAAATAAAATCTTTAAAAAAAAAAAAATAAGGTGCCTCGTTAGCGCAGTAGGTAGCGCGTCAGTCTCATAAAAAAAAAAATAATAAAGATATATTCCTTTAGAGAAATGTTGATTTCTCTTCCCATATTCCCTTATGGAATCGAAATAACTCCAAATAATTTTAACATTTTCTTTCTGGAGTATTTTGACTTTCAAAGCTTTGATATGTGCCTTCCTGTATAACTGCAGACCCTATTAGAAACTAGTCTATCAGATAGTGTCATAAAAGAACTTTGCCTGCACATTTTACACCTGATTAATATGTATGTTGTGTTTCTCATTTCACATGAGCTCTTAAGGTGTCTGGGAGACTTCCGTTCATAAGTAGGCATGTTGGCTGTTCCAGTGCTCTTGATGTGTAGTAGAATTGCTTTAAAATCAAGGAAAATATAGAAGATCCTTTTAAACAATGTAAATGAGGAAATACAAAGAATGATCAGTTACTTTACTATTGGAGTTACTGTTGGGTTAGA